CCCCCTTGGGAGTTTTCTGTGGACCTAGTTGGTAAATTTAAAAAAGGGATTAATACTTACCTGCTATCACAACCATCTTATAAGTAGTAGCCAAATTTTCAGAAAGTGCCAAACTCTGGCAACCATGATCATAACAATCATTTCAGTCAAGCAATGCCACCATTTTTTCATATACGTTCTTTTTTATTGTATTCCAAGTTCCAACGATTTTTATGCACAAATTGTGATATTTTTTGCCTTAAATTCAGTTTTAAAATATGAGCTTGTGAAATTCACCAGCAATGGAAGAAACTATGGTAAAATTTCAGCAGTAATACAGAATTTTGCTGAAAATTTTCTAAAGGAAGCAACAAGGAAATGCGTTTTCTAGATAGGCAGTATTGCCGAAGATTGCACAAAGCCAAGTCTCCTCAATACTCTGATTTTTTTAAAGAGAAAACATATTGCTATGTACTTTGGTGAAGAATAACAGGGAAAAAAAAATTACAAAAAGCTTTGAAGAAAATTTTAAATGTATGACATAATTCTTATTTAATAATTCAAACATGTGTTTTTAAATTGCTAAAATAGGTTTTCTTTTCCTATGTTGATATTGTTTACCAAACTTACTACAGTCAAAAGTCGTTAATTCGGACACCCATAATCCGGACCTCCAAGCTACAAACTTTCTGCACATGCGTCGCGTTGACGCATGCGCGTAAGACCTTTACAGCTGCGAATGTGCATGTGTGCATGCGCAAAATACGTTTACGAATGCGCGTTTAATGCATAACGGACGGTATAAGCTAAGCTAAAATTATCTAATTCAGTTAATGTTGCAGATTGTGTTGTTCCTTAATCTTTGAATTGGATCCGGCTTATTATTTTTTGCAGACTGTTAGAGCAATTTTATAAAAGTAAGCTTGAACTTTCGATTATGTCAAATAGAATTTCTGATATACATTTACTAATATGTAAAGGATCTACAAAGCGAAAATATGTTTCGAAGTCCATTAAACAAAAAGTGGAATTGCTGCAAAAATGGATAAAGGCATATCCTTTGATTATCTAACCATTCCGAAATCTGTTTATCAATTTCACGCTGCTCTGCGGCTGGAAGGGGGGACGCCGCAGCATGCAATGAATTGGAAGTTGATCTGTCAGCACTATCCTTATTTTCAGGGCAGATGTTTTTGTTTTATTTGGCTTATAATTCCTTACTAAATGTAGTATTTCATCTCGATGTACTCCGTCTTTGATATGATTTAAATCAAATTCCTCGTCATTATAATTCGCTTCTGATAGCGAAGAAAGTGACACAGAGGTTAGTGAAAACGAAAAAATTTTGATTGACAAATTAGTCGGTATTCTCGACACAGCAATTATAGGACTTGAACAGCAGAACTTTGTAACTGAACAAGAAATTATGTCTGTTTATAGAATTAAAGAGAAAGTATTATCACATAAAAAATGAAGCAACCTAAACAACTTACATTGAAAGAAATGTTTAATAAAGTAAACAAATAAATATTAACTTTTTTTTGTAACTTTTGATACCCTTTAGGTCATAATTGTTCTTTATTTCATAAATTACGGTTTCATATTTTTAATTTTATAATTTCTGCATGCCATCTTACCAGATTTAAACTGATGATCAATAATCCGGAAAAATCGATAATCCGGAATTGCCGAAGTCCCGATGAGTCCGGATTAACGACTTTTGACTGTATAAATATTGATAGTTTGGAAATCTTTCTAAAAATGGAGGCACAAAAACTACCAATTTGCACATGCTAAGTAACTTTTACATTTCCATTCTTGAAAAATTACCAAATTGTACCAAGATTGTTGCAAAAGTATGCATGTACCAAGAGCTTTTATCAGAGAAAAGCTGCTATCTTTCCCCTTCTGTAACTTTGCTGTTTAATTTTACTTTTTATTTAACAAAGAAAACTTTAAGTTTCAAAATAAATATTTAAAATACGACTGGTCTGAGTATTTCTATCATGGAAGTTTGGCACATTATAGTACCACTTTGCTCATATTCTGAGAAATAAACAATTAAAAAAAACTTAAATGTAAGTAATAACTATCTTGGCCAGTGAAATGTCTGACAAACAAGGATGATATGATTTACAATTTTATTTAAAACTACTAATTCAGAAACTGAGCAGTTGTGCTTTTCAGCAAATGCAAATTTTCGGGCAGTTCTACTTGCTCTCAAACAAGAGTTGATATATTGAAAGAATATGAAGTAGAGTACTTCTAAGTAAATACTATATTACTGCCTGGTTAAACTTACTGAAAATACATGTTGGAGACTGTATTTTGCAATACCAGTGCTGAATGCATAAAATGAATCTTAATGGGTACATATTTATGAAAGAATTCAAAGAATTAAATACCATAGTAGCCAAAACAAAACAGCTACTACTATTTCTACTTTAACCGAAGAAAATGTAATAATCCAAAGTGCATACTTTGGACACCTCAACTGGTAGCATAATTTTATCTTGCACTTCTTATAACCAGATGAAATTCGTGGTTTGAAATTAATTCATTAGAACGAATATATAGAGCATATTACTGTTTTTTGATTGACTCTTTGAGGATGACAACTTAAGTATTGGTTTCCTAAAGGAATTTTTGGAAAATACAGTTCTACATCATAAAATATATTTCAGATCACTTTTATTTTTGAATTCTGCCCCAAAATTATAAAATTGATTTCAAATTTAGTAGGAAAAATCATGCATTTTCTTATATCATTGTGGGCTCAGTTAGATTAGCCTTTCTCTGATTTGTTTCCCCATTGGTTAATTGTTAAAATTTTTTAAAAGGTAAAGAATTCATTTGGAAAATGTGACAAAACTAACAATTAACAATTAACTTCAAGTAGTTAATTTTAATATATTTTCTCATTATTTCTGAATATGATTTATGCAGTTCATTATTATACCTGTGTTCGTATGAGTGATCGATGTTTACAGCACTAAAAATTTAATAGTACTGTTCTGTTATTGGAACTAGACTCGGATATCATCAAAAGTAAAAAATTTTTGGGGAAAAAAAATTAAAACATTAAAAATAATTACCGAAATATTTATGATACAATTAAGTTGAAAAAAAATCAGAGAGGAAAAAATGACATAACAGATATTTGTAAAATTAGAATTTTTTAATATAAATTAAACAACTTTCCAAAGATATCAGGGGGAAAAATTTGGTTAGTGAATGAAAATTAACACTGAGTCATAAAACCGTGGATATCTTTCAAAATGTCCAAAAACATTCTCTTTAAACACGTTGACTGCCAACTACGAGATAACTTGTAGATTGCATTCTTTTCTAGGACTCTAACTACGAGTTATCTCGTACTTGCCATTTTTGTGCAGCTACAATTAAACTAGGAATATAGCAATGCTAATATTGATAGATGGCTTATGGGAAAAGAACAAAAAATCAATGCTGGCTTGTAATGAACAGAAAATTTATTAAAAAATAAACAAAAAGTAGAATTATAAAAATTAATAACATAATATGATTAAATCGATTTGGCCTCTTGGACCGGAATCCGAAAAGTGCCATGACAGTCGATGTGTTAAGATACTTTTGATACCACATGAACTCAGTCAAATAAGAATCTAAATGTTCTGGTCAGTACTGCATTGTCATTTATTTCACCATTTCATACTGCTCCGTAACCTTCCAATAGCTTGTGTGTGAAAACCAGTATCTGGATCAATAAATTTATGTTTATGGTTAACATAGAAATGTTCAAAATCTGGCCTCTTTTAATTTTTAAGTATACTCTTTCCAGCAGTCTCAGTATATTGTAGTACCATCAATAATATTTTCTTCCGATAACTTTAAGCAAAATTCTGGGAGGATGGTTAGACATAGCAACTTAAAAACATTCTTTTGTTTCTTGGCAAATCCCACCGTACATCCTCTGAGGCGGAAGGATATGATCAACATTGTTTTTTCGACATGAAAACAGACTTTTGTTAATTTATGTTCAACAGTGTTATCAGTGCTGCCTGTTTTAACTGATGGTCTAGATATTAATACATGGTCACAGACTTCTCTTATGTAACTGTTTGTCAACAATGCAGTGATTCATATCAAGTTGATACTGACCAAATTCAAAGGAAGTTAACTCTAAACACCATGTATAAATGTATTGAATTACTATTAGGAAACTAATTCTCTATCAAACCAGTTTTGAGAACGCCATCCTTTTCCTTTCGCGGCACATCATATCTTCACAACTCCATTAAGTGTTTCCTTCGAAATGAATTAGAGCTACATTTTATGGTTTTTCATGCACTTTCTTTCAAAGAGAATAATTTTGTGTTCCTGAAGAAATTGTATTGAAGATGTCTCATCATTATGTAAGTCCCAACTTCTCATATCCATGGCAAATACAATAATAATAAAAACACAGGTGATTGTTACAATCTTTAGAATTTGTATTTTTGTTGCCAGTTTTTAAAAGGCATTCTTTTCCTTTTTAAAAAATAAACATTGGCTACTTCATATGAACCAATCTCTCTGCAAGTTTAGCAAAATATTTGGTGATGACTCTTGGCCCCAATAATAGAACAATATCAGTTTGTTTTAGGACTTTCTTTATAAAAGACCTAGATGAGTTTCATGTACCTTAGTGTAGATCCAGATTTCAAAGCTGTACATCACGATAGGTCTTAGTATAGTTTTTAGGAAAGTAGTTTTGCCCCCTTTTTAAATAATTTTGATTTAAAAAAAAAGCCATAAAAACTTAAACTGACAGCAGTAATATGTTTCTTAATTTCTATATCTCTATTGTTTTGAGAGTTTACATCTGAGCCAAGATAAACAAAACTATTCTCTTACTCAAGTATATGATTTCCTATTTAAAGCTTAGTGTGATTTACTAGCTGTTTTGTAACCAACATATATTTGGAACAACTGTTAGAATAATGTATATTTTTGATTATTTTCTCTTCAGAAACGATAACGTAAATTATTTTGTTACGTAGATTTTGCCCATATCCTCAAGTTTTAATTATTCGTCTTGAAACAAAGGCCAGGCTGTGTAAATTCCAAGTATTATCTCATCAGTTTTCAATATGTAAGTATTTTTATTTAAGTCGCGTGACTATTAAATATATTTGTAAAATAAATGATATTACTTTAGTGACATTACAAACTTTATTATTTTAGCTTCAAAGCTGGAGCTGTATATTGGGGATGTAAAAAAAGGACTTCCTGAGTTGTTTCAGAATGTTTCGTGGGAGAAACAAGGGTAAAACTTAACATACAATGTTTGTAATAATAAGTTATTTGCGAAAAATGTTTCTAACTGAAGAAAAGCTGTACTTAGTAGCTGCAAATGGAATGACATTGTATATCATTATTTAAGGCAAGTCTGTACTTGGAAACTTTATATAATCTATTGTTAGCATTCTACCAATTCCAGAATGTGTTTTTTAAGCTAAATATCTGACTACCAGCAAAACTGTTAAATATCTAAAATAGCTACTGCCTCAGCATATTCAGATATTTTTTAAATGCAATTAATTGGATTGTTTTCCCCTGTTAACCAAATACATAATTACTGTAATGCAAGTGATTTGGATAATATTTTGTTTTTATGTTCTTAAAAGACACCTCAATTGCTAGAATTTTATCCTGCCCCTGTTATAACCAATTGAAGTTGTTGGTTTGAAGCTGAATAAAATATAAATATAGAATAAATAGAAAAATTAGTAAGTAGACAAATAAAATGCTTTCATTTTTGTAAAACTAATACTTTCTTTTACAATGATAGACTTCAATAAATTATTTCTTATTTGCTTGTGTTCAGAAGCTATTAAAATGTAATTGACTGTAGTTATTCTGTATACTGTAAGACAAAACTCCTAGTGTGTAGCAGAAATTGGCATAACTTTCATTACGCTTATTTAGTCTATGCTTTTTAATACCACCACATTAGTAGGTGGTTTTTTGGGGGGAGGAGGGGGGCATTTATTGTAATTTAGAGCTTTTTTCCCCCAAAAATATTTCAGTTCAGTAAATCTGTAAAAGAAAAAATTATTTTACAGAAACATTATAGAATTCCAGTTATTGTGGATTGGTTTTTCCACCTTATAGCTGTTTAATTTAAACAAACTAATAATTATTCATGTTATCAATTTTTTTCTGTTAATGTAAATATAGTTAAAGCTTTCTGTTAGTGTAAATACAATCAATCCTTCTGTCAGCACAAAATTGCATGGATTCTCTAGAAGTTCAGTTTTTTTCAAATGATTTTCTCACCTCTCAATAAAATCCATGGTTTGATTCATAAAGATTCCATTTCTTACTTTAATTCTTGAGGAATTTATAACATATCTTATTAGTTTAGTTTGAGAAACATCGTCCAGAGTAAAAGAGCATTAAAGTTTTGCATCAAGGAACACAAAGGTGAATTAACAGGTCTTCAATAGCTAGTCATAGTCAGAAATTTAATCATAATTTTGACTTTGTGTCTACAAAAATTATCCTGAAAGCTTCTTTCATTTTAATTGGATTTTCTTGAAGATTTTTCAATTCACAAAGATTTATCTTGTTTAGTTAATAACTTTATATCCAATCCAGTCCTTCCTAATGCTTTTTAAATTAACTTGAATTTTTCAATTTTCATTACTTTTTCTGCTGACAGATTGTGCTATTTTCTCATTCACTGTACTTTTTTTGGGTATAAATACAACCATGGCTTTCCCTTCATTGCAGATTTCCCCTCAGGGGCTTTTATGTGAGTGTGGGTATGGCAATACTGAGGTATCATAGCCCTTTATGGAATCACCCTCTTAGTGAGATGGGGGGGTCACGATCCTGGTGCCCTAATGATCTTTCCTCCTTTCGTTTTCCCTCCTCTTAGCTATCACTTTTTCCTGCCTTGTGTTTCTCCTCTTCAAAGATCGGGATTTGTCATGAGATGCTATTACAATAATTGTTTTTAATTTTAAATGCTGAGAAAACTGCCTATGTGTTTGCTATGCTTAAAGACCTGTGTCGTTGGAAAGGAGGGTACTGGTAGTTGAGGAACAAGATACTGTTCGCAATACACTGCTTTGGCCTCTACTTAAGCTAAACGGGATGAACTTTATTGTCCTAATGAGTGTCAATTGGCTGGTCTCCCAAGCTTTGTATCGATGGCTTTAGGGATAAGCTTTCATGAGTTGCTGCTTTTGGGAAAGCTAACTGTAGGAATTCTGTTTGTGTATAGGTCCGGCTAGCACTAACACAGGAATCTGTGTTTCCTTGTTGGGCTGCATGGGGGGTGGCAGTCTGACCTGAATTAATTTCTTATTCAGTATAGCCTCTCAAAACAAAACTGTCTAAAAGAGAATGTTCACAATCAAAAAAAAAAAAAAAAAAAAAAAAATTCAGACAAATGCGATTGCCAATCAAGAGAAAATTCTACCTTTATATCTTGTCATCAGTAACACCCCAGGCAATATGCAAAAAATGTCACCATTTCGAGTATATAAAAATATATATCTGTCATAAGAAAACGGTTGTGTTCTGATGATCTACTAATAGAAACTGTCTTGCCTATTCAATCTCTCACCATCCTTGAATTAAAGAAATTAGGGCAATTCGACATTAGTGTCACAGAACACAAAACATTACTGTCGTGACATTATTTCCAAGATCAACCTCTTTTCCATATCAGAAGAGGAAATTGAATCAGAGCTGTCCAACTAGAATATCTAGGCGGCAAGGCGGATCAAGATGCACAAAGAAGGCACTTGATTAATACTGAACATATAATCCTGGCCTTCAGTTCACCTGAGCTGCCAAAAAGTATTAAGGCTGGGTATTTGCTCTGCCTTATAAGACCTTAAATACCTAGCCCCTTACGTTGATTTCAGTGCCAGCATTTTTGACACTCGGAAAATGCCCTGTCATGGCAAAGTCACATGTGCACATTTTGCTGTGGAAGGCCACGGCAGCAATAATTACAGTGCCAGCTCACTATGTGTTAATTGCAAATCAGAGCACACAGATGTCTCTCGCCTTTGCCCAAAACGGAAGTCTGAGAAAAATGTACAATATATAAATATAACAAAAACTATTTTTTTTGTAGAGGTGACAAGAAAGCTGTCATATGCTAATGCATTAAAATTCATAAATCATCAGGCACACAAACAGCAATAAGTGCACAAAATAAACAGCCAATCAAAATTTAACTGCCCAGTAGTAAAGAAACTAAAAACAACCAATCTGAAAATAGTAATAGTAATAATATAATAATAATAAAAAAAAAAAAAAAAAAAAAAAAAAAAAGAGGGAAAAAAAAAAAAAAAGAAACTTTCAGTGCCTTCCAGAAATCCAAGTCTGAGCTCCTCTGTTAGAATTCGTTCAGATGATCTGCATTCTGATATGGATGTGGAAGAGTGACTGGACATTCTGAGGCATCTACTTCCACGTAAAACAAAAACACAGCACCGAAAATATAAATATCATTCATAATGGCCACTCATGTTTCTTGGAATTATTGCGGCTTCTACCAAAATCTTGTTTTCATCAAATACTTGACCAATAAACATCATCCGGTGTGTTTGGCAGTGCAGGAGACTCTCCTGAAACCAGAGAAAGAAGCTAAGCTTTAAAAGTTCTCATTTGTCAGGAAAGATAATCTTGTAGGTAAGTGTGCTAGTGGATGTGTTGGTCTGATCAGTTCATTTCCTTTAAGAACAAGCCTTCAAGCCGTTTCCATTTAAATAAATATAAAATTCCTGGTTTCAGTTTGTTGTGTCTATTTGCCTTCAAATGAACACAACAATCAATGAGATTTAGATGACTTAATTAAATCAGCTACTTGAACCTTTTATCATGTTAGGTGACTTTAATGCCCATAGTCCACTCTGCGGTAAGGACACAAATCCTCGAGGAAGACAAATCGACCAAATGATTCAAAATTTTTTTATGCCTTTGTCTGCTCAGTAATGGACAGGATACCTACTTCCACAAGCTCACAAGGGTATTTCACACACTATCTTTCTATCTGCAATACTGCAAGCCAAGGGCAGGCCATTCCTAGCAGGAGGGCAGTGCCTAAGAGTATGTGGGCGGCTGAAATCAGGGGCAGGCGGACTCTTGTGATACCATGCCTAAATATATAAAATTCATTAAATTCATTGTAAATACTTGTCATATGTAAGTACTTTTTATACAATTTGTCATATGTAAGTACTTTTTATACAATTTGTCATATGTAAGTACTTAGTGAGTACGAAATAAAAATTTTATGAATCATTGAGCTTTTTATTTATATTTGGGGGCGGCAATTGTAGGAAAGTATGCAAGCAGCCAATGGCCTAGGAACAGCCTTGACTAAGGGAGATTCAGATGAGATAACTGCAAACAGTACGAGCTCCCATCTACCAAAGATGTATGAATGGAATGGTATCAGCGGTACCATCCTCTTCCTCCTCATCTGTGCTTGAAAACCACTTCTGTTCCATAAACTGGTTTTCAAGGACATTTCAAAGGCATTTTGTAAATGTGATCAAAGAAAAACCAAGTAATCTGTGCTATAGTAACCCATGGTACAGTATACTAGCTATCTATTAGTGTACTTAAAGGGGGAAGAAACACATCCTGGAAATTTAAAAAAAATCTGGAAGTGTATTTAATATTATTTTATTTAATTTATTAATAAATTGATTTCTTTGTTTTTTTGCGGGGGGGGGATTCATGTGCACAAATAGAGAGGCTGCCACTGCAGTGCAGTATTTTTGAAGTTATGAGATCAAGAAAAGTGTGTGTGTATACAAAATTATTTGAAAATTGATAAACAGTGGCAAACATTGATAAAGTACTTGAAAACTTACCATAACATTTTAAGTCCTTTAAATGCCACATCTGTAACCTGTATCTTTTGATTATCTAACTACATTAGGTACAATCTATTCCTTTAAACTTCTGTCAGATGGTGTGAATTTGCTGGCATCTTCACCAGCTTTCATGATTTGACAGGATTTTATAAGCAGATGAGATGTTCTTTTAGATGTTTAGAGCCTATGAAAAACATGGGCTTTTATGTTTGAATTGTATTCGCCCCTTAATTTTACATAATTTTCAATGTGGTCTTTGAATGTTCAAGCTAATAGTAAAATAAGATGACTTTTTATAAATTTTAGAGTAGATTTCCCCCCCCCCCTTTCATTTGGCTTAGTGCCATTAGTTACACTTTTTATACATTCAAATATATGGTATTTTTACTTATCAGGTATTGGGCATTTTCCAAGCATT